GCATTTGTCTTTACAAGTAGGGTCGCATAAAACACACGTGCCGGTTGAGTCGGGGTAATACCCATTCACACACTCAATGCATTTCCGTGAAAAGTCTGTCGCGCACTTATTGCAATTAGAATCCATTTGAAAACAATTTTGGCACTTCACATTGTTTGTTTCAAATAAGACATAATTGGTAGCACATCCAGTGCAATACCCATTCGATGGATTACAACGATTTCCACACGTTGAGTCACACAATTGACATTTGAATGTGGAATTTGGATAATAATTTGAATTGCAAGTAACACACTTTCTCGATGCATCAGATGCACAAATGTTACAATTTGAATCAAAAGTAGAACAAGATTCGCACTTTGTCGAATCGCTTGCAGATACAACGTAATTATTAGCACAATTTGTACATTCGCCAGTTTTCCCGTTGCAATTGTCACATCCAGACGGACAAGCAACACATCTGAATGTCGTGGGATTGACATACGTTTGATTTGTACACATCTCACATTTTCGATCTCCGTTTGTTGAACACGTTAAACAGTTTAAATCCAGTGTAGAACAAGCAACACAAGTCTTTGGGTTTGTGTCGGATTTGATATAATTGGTCATACATCCAGTGCAATACCCACTGGTTTGATCACATTGTTTGTTACACGAAGAATCGCATGCAACACATCTGTTGTTCACCAAATAATAGCCCGCATTGCATTGGGTGCATTTTCGTGTAAAATCAGATGCACACGTGTTGCAATTTGAATCAAAGTCAGAACACTTTTGACACTTCAAATTGCTTGTCTCATATAAGACGTAATTGGCAGTGCAACCGGTGCAATACCCATTCGTTGGATTACATTGACCACCACACGTCGAGTCACACTCACCACACTTTCCAGACGCTTGGGGATATTTTCCCGTTGAACACGTTGAGCATATTCTGTTTGGTGAATTGTTGCAACTGACACAAGATGTGTCAAAGACACTACAACTGATGCACTTTGTTGATTTTGGTTCTGTGAAGACACTCTGTGTTGAACATGATGTGCAAATTCCGTTTGTTGTGTTACAACTTCCACCGCACGTGGAATCACAACTTTTACATGTATATGTTGTATCGGGGTACATATTGGCTTTGCATGAAATGCAAGTTCGTGAATTATCTGTTGAACACATTTCACAATTCGAGTCAAAATCTTTACAATCGACGCATGTGGTACTGACTGGATTTGTAAACACGTAATTGGAAACACAAGAGGTGCAAATACCAGTCGCAGAATTACATGTTGTACAATTACCATTGTTGCAAGGCACGCAAATACCGCTGTCGTTGGGATAATACCCATTTTCACAATCAACACATTTTCGTGTGTAGTCTGATTTGCATGTTTTGCAGTTGTTGTCAAATGTTTTGCAAGTGACACACATTTTACTCTTTGTTTCTTCAAACACATAATTAGTCAGACAGGCAGTGCAGATACCACTAGTTTGATTGCAATTGCCATTGCATGTTGTACTGCACAATTTGCATTTCTTTGTTGATTCATCGGGATACATCCCACTTGTCTTACATGTCACACACTGCCGTTGATATGACGAATCACACGTCAGACAATTTGCATCATATGTTGAGCATTTGTCACACACCAAACTGTTTGTTGTTGAGAATACATAATTTGACAGACACCCCGTGCAAACACCAGTCGAGCCACTACACTGACCTCCACATGTCGAGTCACAATCAGCACATTTATAGCTTTCTGTGGATTTTGGGTATTTACCACTCGAACACAACTCACACTTTCTGGTGAAGTCAGTTGCACATTTTGAGCAGTATGAATCAAATTCAGAACATTTCACACAGACTTTCGATATTGGAGAAGTCACTGTGTAATTCAACAAACATTGCGAGCAATATCCACTTGTCGAGTTACACGTATTTGGTTTGCAAGTTGAGTCACACGCCACACACCTTCCATTGAGCAAATAAAACCCACTGTTCTCACGACACGTGATACACTTTCTTTCTCCATTTGAAGCACATGCAACACAGTTGATATCGAAAGTGGAACAGTCAATACATGTTAATCCTTTTGGATCATTGAAGACTTTTCCAGAAACGCAATTTGTGCAAATTCCATTTGTTGTCTCACAACTCCCATTACACGAAGCATCACAACTTTTACATTTTCCATTGGAAACACCGGGATACATATTTGTTTTGCATGTGGTGCAATTTCTGGAACTTGACGAACTACACGTCATACAATTTAAGTCAAATGAAGTACAACTCAAACACCCAATTTGTTTTGGTTCATAAAAGACGTAATTGGTTATACATTGTGTGCAAATACCATCAGTTCCACACATTGAACACGTTGAGTCACACAACGCACACATTCCATTCGATAAGTACGAAACACCACTTAGACACAAAAGACACTTTCTTTCAGTTCTTGAACAACTCAGACAATTCGAATCGAAAGAAGAACAGCTTTGACACTGTTTTGGGTTTGATGGGTTGATTGTGTACTGATCGTTGACACAAGTCATGCAATTGCCTGTTGTGGTGGAACACCCACTTGAACAAGAACTATGGCAATCAATACAACTAAACGGAGAAGACGGGTTTGGATATTTTCCAGTTGTACATGTTGTGCATTTTCTGATTGTTTGTGAACAGACTGTGCAATATGGATCAAACGAAGAGCACAACTCACATGGAATACTATCCGTCGTCTTTTTGGTGTATCCAGTCCCACAAGTCTCACAAATACCAGTGTTTTTATTGCAACCGCTATATGCACATGTCGTGTCACACTGAGAACACATGTTTTGCGCGTTAATATAGTAATTTGTATCACAAGATGTACAAACTCGATTATTTCTGTCTCCACACACATCACAATTTGGATCAAAAGATCTACACAACTGACATGTTTTGTTGTTAACAGGAAAAGGAACATAATTAGTCGAACAACCATTACAAGTCCCATTGGTGTTGCATGTTGAACATGTCCAATCACACAATGAACACAAACCACTGGAATTTACATATGAAATACCACTTGTACAGGTCAAACATTTTTCTTCTGTTTGGCTACAAGTTAAACAATTTGTGATTTGATTACATTGAGAACATCTCTTGTTTTTAGGGTAATACCCATTATTACATTTTGTACAACCGAATAGAACGTTACAATATGTTGAAGCACAATTTGTATCGCACGTGACACAAAAAGAACCGACTAGATATGTACCATATTTACAAGAAAGACAAGTTGATGAAGACCCGGAACATGTGGCACAATTTGAATCACATGCAACACATATTCCATCGACCAAATAATAACCAGCTTGACACATGTCACATAATGTTGTGTTGGATATACAATGCCCAGACACACAATTACTACAACTTAGACATTGGTTGTTCCATAAATATCGCTCTCCTTGTACACACGATAAACAATTTGTCGAATTTATTGAACATGTTTGACATGTTGATGAACAAGAAAGACATTCGTATGAAGAAAGGTAATACCCATCCACACAACTATAGCACTGTGTTGTTTGTGGACCCCAACACGTTTTGCAAATACTTGAACATGTGTAACAATGATAATTAAATGTATAATATCCATCATAACAATCGAAACACATATCATGATCACAATATCGACAATTTTCTACCAAACACTTTTCACAGTAACTCGCATCAACAACAAAATATCCTTCGCTGCAACCCCAACAATACTCATTGCTTTCACAATAAAGGCAATTATTTGCACATGGTTGACATGTGTTATTATATTTCCCATGAAAACTGTCAAGATAAAAACCATCATAACACCAAGTGCAATTGGTTCTTTCAGGGCCATTACACCCACCACACTCTGAATGACACTTATAACAAACGTTATTTGATAAATAAAAATTGTTATTACAATATGTGCAATTTGTACTTGTTCCTACACATGCATTACAATTACTGTTACATTTAAGACAATATCCATCTGATAAATAGTATCCAGTTTTACACGACAAACAATTGTTTGCAGCTGTCCCTTTACACGTGTTGCAACTGGAGTCACAAGGTTGACAATATCCATTTGTTAAATAAAAATATGATTTACATGTTGTGCAATGTTTC